TGATAGGATATTATAACAATTTCCCAAGTGTGGATGGTATTTTAACATACCCTCCAGGACATTTTTGGAGAATGTTGGGGATAATTTCTTGGTACAAGTGTTCAAGGAACCGACCAGGGGCCGTGAGCAGCTTGACCTGATGCTCTCAAACAGGGAGGAGCTAGTAGGGGAAGTAGATGTGGGTGGCAACCTGGGTAGCCTCATTTTAGTTTTACAGGATTTTTCAAAAAAGCACCCTATTTTCAAAAGAACCACATCTAGACTGTGGTTTCAATTTTGAAATAGCAATTTTTTGAAAGAGTGCCATTATGTGATTATGCAAATGAAGCAAGTGATATTTAAATCTTGGCTTCATTTGCACTCTCGAAGTGCTTCATTTACATCCCTCTGTGCATAAAGGGATGTAGTCTAGATGTAGCCCTAGTGACAGATGACGTGGGAAAAGCTGAAGTACTCAATGCTTCTTTTGCCTCTGTCTTCACAGACAAGGTCAGATTCCAGACTACTTCACTATGCAACGTAGTATGAGAAGGAGGTGGGCACCCCTCGGTGGAGAAAAAACAGGTTAATAATTATTTAGAAAAGCTAGACATACACATATCCATGAGTCCAGATTTAATAAATTCAAGGGTACTGAGGGAGCTAGCAGATGTCATTGCAGAGCCTTTGGCCATTATCTTTGAAAACTTGTGGTGATTGGGAGAGGTCCCGGATGATTGGAAAAAAGCAAATGTAGTGCCCATCTTTAAAAAAGGGAAGAACGACAATCCAGTGAACTACAGACTCGTCAGCCATTTCTCAGTCCCTGGAAAAATCATGGAGGAGATCCTCAAGGAAACCATTTTGAAGCACTTGGAAGAGGAGAAGTGATCAGGAATAGTCAACATGGATTCTCTAAGGGCAAGTCATTCCTGATCAATCTGATTAGCTTCTACGATGAGATAACTGGCTCTATGCACACGTGGAAGTCAGTGGATGTGATATACCTTGATTTTAGCAAGGCTTTTGATACAGTCTCCCACAATATTCTTACCAGCAAGTTAAGGAAGTATGGATTGGATAAATAGATGGTAAGGTGGATAGAAAGCTGGCTAGACTGTCGGGCCCAACGAGTAGTGATCAATGGCTTGATGTGAGATCGGCGGTCAGTTTCAAGTGGAGTGCCCCAAGGATCGGTTCCAGGACTGGTTTTGTTCAACATCTTTATTATTGACCTGGATGATGGGATGGATTGCACCCTCAGCAAGTTTGCAGAGGACACTAAGCTAGGGGGAGAGGTAGATACATTGAAGGGCAGGGATAGGGTCCAGAGTGACCCTATACAAATTGGAGGATTGGTCCAAAAGAAATCTGATGAGATTCAACAAGGACAAGTGTAGAGTCCTTCATTTGGAATGGAAGAATCCCAAGCATTGTTACAGGCTGGGAACTGAGGGTATGTCTACACTACCCTGCTAGTTCGAACTAGCGGGGTAATGTATGCATACCGAATGTGCAAATGAAGCCCGGGATTTGAATTTCCCAGGCCTCATTTGCATAAGCCGGACGGCGCCATTTTTAAATGCCGGCTTGTTCGAACCCCGTGCCGCGCGGCTACACGCGGCACGGGGTTCGAACAAGCCGGCGTTTAAAAATGGCGCCGGCCGGCTTATGCAAATGAAGCCCGGGAAATTCAAATCCCGGGCTTCATTTGCACGTTCGATATGCATACATTACCCCGCTAGTTCGAACTAGCGGGGTAGTGTAGACATACCCTGAATGTCTAAGTAGCAGTTCTGCAAAAAAGGACCTGGGGATTACAGTGGATGAGAAGCTGGATTTGAGGCAACAGTGTGCTTTTGTAGCCACGAAGGCTAATGGCGTATTAGGGTCCATTAGAAGGAGCATTTCCAGCAGATCTAGAGAAGTGATTATTCCCCTTTATTCTGCACTGGTGGGGCCACATCTGCAGTGCTGTGTCCAGTTCTGCCCCCCCTTCCACTACAGAAAGAATATGGGTCCAGTGGAGGACAACCAAAATGATTAGGGGGCTGGAGCACAAGACCTATGAGGAGAGGCTGAGGGATTTTAGTTTATTTAGTCTGAAGAAGAGAAGAGTGAGGGGGGATTTGATAGAAGCCTTCAACTTCCTGAAGAGAGTTTCCAAAGAGGCTGGAGAGATGCCGTTCTCAGTAATGACGGATGGCAGAGCAAAGATCAATGGTCTCAAGTTACAGTGAGGAAGGTCTAGGATGGATATTAGGAAAAACTATTTCACTTGCAGGATGGTGAAGCACTGGAGTGGATTACCTAGGGAGGTGGTGGAATCTCCATCCCTGGTGGTTTTTAAGTCCCGACTTGCCAAAGCCCTGGCTGGGATGATTTAGTTAGGTTTCAACCTGTTTGGGCAGGGGGCTAGACTCAATGACCTCCTGAGGTCTCTTTCAGCCCTATGATTCTGTGATTCATCAATACAGGAGAGCAATAAGGTAGTAAATTGGTGCACTGGTGTTCAAATTATTAAACTATTGTCACTGATCTTTTAGAGCCCCTGCTTCTTTCATAGCTGTTTTGTTGTGATCTGTCCTTTATTAGACTTATTAAAAATAAAACAGAAAAATGCTTTGCCTATTCTGAAACATCAAACCAAATACATGTAAAATATATGTTTTTATTTTAGTGGATATAGCAAACACTCAAGCTCCTAACTAGATAAGCAGTCATAACTCATGATTAAAATATCATCTGAAAAATGTATTTAATATCTGACAGACTTTCATGAAATATGTTTTAAATGAGATTTACTCTAAAATTTCCAGAAGACCCCAAGTGATTTAGCAGCTTAAGTATCATTGAAAGTTAATGTGACTTAAGCTGTCACATGCTTAAGTCACTTTTGAAAATGAAACGATGGATCATCTTATGCCTGGCCACTTTGCTGCAGAGAAATATGTATATAACCCTTTTCTGTACTCCCTATACGCAAGTGTTCTATGAATACAGTTCTTTCTATTGCACAAGTTCCTTAAATATATATACTCAAGTTTATTTTTTTGAAAATTGAAATTGTATTCAGAGAGGTATAAAAGTTCAAATGGTAACCATATCTAAGCTTTGGTTACCCTTCCATAAATTACATGTAAAAGGTAAAAATGGATGGCCAGCAAAACACAGCTAATCAGACTCCCAACAAAATTTACTCTGAAACAGCCCACTACCTATGTCACTCCTGCAGTGTGTCCTGAATACCAAATGACCAGGACTATTTCAGAGTGGGAAGAATTTAGGTTAGTGCTGAGTTCCCCTCTTTTACTATTCCTCCTTCTCTCTTGAACCAGAAGAATCCAGCATTAGCTTTTCCAGTGAATGTAGAGGTAACAGTGTGGCAGGAGTAGAAACATGGTCTCTCAGTAGGATAGGTCTAAGCCAACGTTAGTTAATTATATTTTGTTAAGGTCCAGACACCAGAGAAAAGAATAAAAACGATAATGATAATAAACGCAGGATTCATTCAAAAGCCTCTGGTATTATGGGTTTGGCCTGTGCTCCATCTATTTATCCTATTCTAAGCCATTTAAGGTCTTATATCTATATATATTGTGTGCCTTCATAGTTCAAATTTCTCGGTCATGGTTATTACAATGGCTCCTGAATCTGCTGGGATATGCTAATAGATTTACAGTTGTACTTTTACATTTGTGTCCTCTCTCACACCAAAACAGGATTAGTAGGTCCCTGGTGTTTGCCCACTTGATTGATAAAATATTCAAATGATAAAGCAAAAATAGAGAGCTATACCTAGAAACTGAACAAAAGAAGCAGGGCATAGCTAGGGGTGGAACTGAGTGCGCTGTGGCCTGCCCGCCAGCTCCCCTGGCACTCTGTCCAAGGAGCAGCCAAGACTTACCCTTCCTGCTCGCTGCCCCCCATTCGTGACCACCCACCCGAAGTGAGGGTTCATCCAGGTGGGCCCTTCTGGCTGCTCTACTGAAAAGAAGATAGAAGAGTGCTGAGAAAATGTTCTTACGATGTAACCCCGGTTCAAATTGCCCCGGGAATCTTTGTCCATAAGTGAACATGCTTTGTCTGTAAGATCCATGGGCGTGGGGAAGGGAGGAGTGGGTAACTATAAACTCTAGACACTGTTTCCTGGAGGTTCAACTCTCCTGGGAACAAAGCCCATTGTATTAGGCCTGTTGCAGCCCCTCTAACCGCATGGGAGCTTTAATTGTCGAAGGAGGAAGCTTCAAGCGCCGCTCTCAATGTAGCGTCGCCTTTTCCTTCCTCAGTGAGCCGCGGGCTGTGCTCAGATGCCGCGGGCCCCCCGGCTCTGCCCATATTGCGCCGGCAGTCTCCGGGCAACTGCTCCGCCGTCACCTAGTCCCTCCCGCTCCGGGGCTCTGGCCAGCCCAAGCTGGCCCAGGCAAAGTAGCTCCTTGGCACCTGCAAAAAGTTCCTGGGAGAGGAGGGCGGCCGGGGGCAACCAATGGCTCAGTCAAATTTCCCGCCTCTCCTGTGACTCCACACCCCACCCCCTCCCGGGGTGCGGCTAAAGGGCAGGCACAGGGCTGCCGTACATCCTCTCTCCTCCCCCCTGCTGAGGTTGGCAGCCTTCCCCTGGCTCCCGCAGAGGCGCCCCGCCTACCCCGGCGGGCAGTGCCTACTCCGGACTTCAAGGGCGCGGGCTGAAGGGTGTGAGGGTGGCTCAGGGAGTCTCGCTCCTCCCAGCCCCCGCCCCCTTAGCCCCCGCTTCTGGCCGCTGCTGCCCCG